CGCATTCGGGCGGGCGTTGGACGCTAAAGCGAAGGTCCAGTATCATTCATAGATTACTTTCCAATACGTCAATAGGAGGCTTCTGTCGTGGAATACATCTTCATGTACATACATTTCAATGTCAGGCTGTGCCGACAATTACTGGAAAGATAGCACATGTGTGAGGACGATGACTGCTAGCTTGTCCTTAACTTGGGCGGAAAGGCACCACTCCCAACTAATACTACGATGGTAAGTGCGCGCGGCATAGATGATTGCGATATCGAGGTAGATACATGATACATGGTCCTGACCTTACGCGATTAGTTCGCAACGGTCTCAAATGTGGGAAACTGCCCGATCGGAGACATCGGGCGACTAAGATGTATTGGAAGGGAAGAGTTTGGAACCATACCGCGATTGTGGCATTGGATAATGTGAGTACAAAAAGACAGGGAGCTTTGTGTCGTACCAGTTCACAACGAACATGTCTTGCGAAAGGACTTTTTTCTGGGTGACCGAGATGCTAAGATCCGGGCCCACCCCGTTCACTTTCCGGACATACTTTCGGTAGATCACATCGTTCCTCCCAAATCGGTCGGTCTGACTCCATGAAGGCTGTGGCGATAGGGTATAATGGAATGTTTCCAGAGTCTTACGTTCCGACTTAGGATCATGTAGACCTGTCTCATGAACACGACACCATGGTTCTGGCGGCTTTTTGGCGCTATAATTGCATCCTAACGCAACGAAAATCGAGAGCCTTTCGATGCCTTCTGACTCATTGGTCGAACCGATACTCAGTTCCAAAGTTGCGTGCCATGACGAAGATCCATCGTTATCCTCAATAGTCTCATTGCCCTGTAGAATCCTGTCCTTGACGTTCCACGCTGCTTCTGGGTAGCATCGCCGTATCTCCATAGTTTCCGGAGGCTTTCGAAGAAGAAATCCCCAGCGACGCCGCACGCTGGTCGAGATGGTCGATGTACGACTGTTGTGAATGTATATCTCTTTAGGAGAGTACTCGGATTGTACTGACTCGCATGGGATCAAGCACACACTAGTATTGGTGTCTCGACGATAGATGTTTGCAGACAAATGTCGCAGCGGAATAACCACAAAGTGTTCAAAATCATGGATAGGGTGGCACCTCAGAATACCCCAGGTGACCATGCTGAGACCCGACCATATCATGACCGGCGAGCGAAGTGGCCGAAGCTTGTAGGACTTGGTATCATCAAGATGGGTTAAGAGAGTCGCTTGCCAAATACACAACCCTCTGTGAGTGATGGCGTAAGGAGCCACGGGGTTATCTGCGGCGAAGGGTATCAAGTGTGATGCTTCTCGAAAGTCATTTGGACTCCTCGCGAGCGCGTCTCCGGTGACTTCATGCGTACAGAAATCTGAACCTTCCCATGCGAATATTGTCTCATCGTCAGAAATCTTCATGATCTCTTCCTGCAATCTTTTGAACGCTTTTATCTTGCCCTCACCATATAGCAATGGCATGTTAACACCGAAAAGTCCGAGTAAGCTGTAAGCGATATCCTCAGCCCTTGTTGCCTGCCTGTCCGCTGCCCATGACATCCTCATACTGATGCTCGCGGATTCCAGCGTTTGAGTCTGGAGGTATTCTAGGGGAATATCTGTGATCTCTGATATTCGCACACCCAAGCTAACCTTGCTTCCGATATATACCCAATCACGGGAATAGAACCTGATTCCCTCAAATGCACCATGAATTCGATCGCGTAATCTACCAACGTGAAGGATATTGGGAGCGAGTAACTCCTGGAGGGTCCAAGCACGAGTGAACCATCGACTGAGGGGAAGGCTGTCGGGTAACTCCACGTCTGCGAGGTAGGCATAGCACTTCTCGGAGTTTCTGTACCATGCGAACATACTGTTGATGGCCTCAGAGAGTTCGGCGCTGCTGCTTTTGTCGATGCAACAGGTATCAATCCAGGCGTAATCAAGTCTATCTCCAACAGAAAGCTGACAAGTTTTTTCAAGCTTAGTAAAGCCTTTCTTTTTCCTCGCTTGTCCTAGATCAGCGAGATCAGAGAATACAACTTCCTCATCCTCCCAACAGTGCGAAAGGATGGCATATGGTGGGATATTGTCGACGAACGTCTTCAGCTCCAGAGTGCGTGCGTCCAGAAGCCGCATAATGGAATTGCGTCGCTAGACAAGCGCATATTCCGACTAATTGCAGCTGTTGTTTCGGACTTGAAGTTCCTCTTCGTCGTGGGCGTTACATCGAAGGCAACGAGGCGCAAGAAGGCAGGCAGCCTTGAAAGCGTTGGAGAACACAAAGGCGCGAACCCAATAGGAATAAACTTAGGGTTGAAGGGCAGTACGATGCGCAACAGTAGCAATCGAATGATCAGGCGATGAGTGCGAAGAGAATCATCGGACGAGAAGAGTGAGTATCGTGGTGAAGGAAGGTGGGGCAGGCACGGAGGACGCATGGGCCTGGCCCGCCAAGACCCTTCGCTTGAAAACGCGCAAGAACTCTGCAGAGCTCCTCCCAGCCTTCTCATCACAGCTACATAGCTACGACCGCGTCACACGCGCGATTAATACATCGCGACACATAAACGCAACTAGCATCTCAAATCTCAGAAGCCGCAGCCACCGTCCCACAACTAACAGCAGATCCAACCATCCTCAGTCCTCCCAGCAATCAACCAAGTAAGTCCACCACTCTCCTTCTCCTACGCACACTCCCCACACCCCATCTCGCAATGATGATCACAATACAAATCACAAGTTTCAAGACGGATCGGAGAAGGTTTCACGGCCTTTATTGAATGAGTATTTCCTGTCTGAATGAGAGATTACACATACATGTTACGTCGCTTCATTACGTTTGGGGCAAGTTGCTGACGAGTCGTTACAGAGTTTCAAGCAGCGCTGCATAGGAATAGGAAGCAGTAGTAATTCATAGTCATGCCCTTTAATGCTAGCATATTTTCTGAAGATTGTGATATTTTCTCTATGTGATCTGTGATGATACGTGAAGAAAGGAGTGAGTTTATGAAACCCATGATATACGTGAACACATCGCCGGCGTCGTGCTATCGTTCTTATGTCCCACTGAAGACATGGAGCGTTCTTCAACAAGACGGGTCACATAGTAATTCGAGACATTTCATCTACCGTTTTCAACACTTAACATCGTACACCTTTGCGCTCAAGAAAAGCGAGCCGAGTAGTTGATCAAGCGAATCAAACATATTATGTTAACTTTGTTGATTCATTCCATGTTACAGTTACATACAAGCCCAGAAAAGCAGACGAACGATACCGCAGTAAAAGCAGAACCTCAAAAAAAGGAAATGAGAGTGCGAAATCCATCCCTTATGAGCGCCTGCCACCGATGAATACAGATCCTTTTCCATTCCACCCAGTATCCATTTTTCCATGGTCGTTTCATTGTTATCCTTTGCGTCGCCATCCGTGACTCTATGCATTTTGAACCTATGAGGAGACTTTCGTACCGTGTCGCGCATCTAGTCTTCCGCCATTGATGCGGTGTTCTTGGTGGTCCTGCCGCTACGGCGTGGTGTACCGTCGGCGGTGGCAGCCTTCTTGGGTGCCTTCTTCTTTGCGGGTTCCTTCTTCTCCTTCTTGGCACGGCCGCCCTTCTTGGGGGTAGGCTTTGTCTCGGCTTCTTCCTTTTCGTCGGCTTCATCGTCGTCGGCCTCGTCGGTCTTTGCCTTCTTCTCGGCGGGCTTCTCATCGGCGTCGGCGTCGGCGCCGTTGGTCTTATCCGCGGCTACTTCGTCAGCCTTGCGCTTGTCGCCGGCCTGGGGTTCCTCGTCCTTTTCGTCGGACTTGTCTTCTGTCGCGTCGTCCTTGGCCTGTTCTTTTGACTCTTCCTTCGAATCCTCCTTGGCCTCTTCAGCCTTGGACTCGCCGTTGGTTTGCGCTTCTTCCTTCTTCTCCTCACTGTCAGGCGCGTCCTTCATCTCCTCGTCCTTCTTCTCGGCTTCAGAGGTCTTCTCGTCCTCCTTCTTATCTGAGTCAGCCGACTTGTCGTCATCCTTCTTCTCTGACTCTGCCGACTTGTCCTCTTCCTTGGAGTCGCCGTTAGCGCCACCGGCCTTCTCGTCGATCTGGAGTTCGGAAGCGCGCTTCACGACATCGTTGCCAGAGCGCTCGACGTGCACAGCGGGGTTGTCGGGCGAGGCGTTCTTCTTGATGGTGTTGCCCTTCTTGGATTCAATGGCAATCTCGCCTTGGTCCTTGACCTCGGCAGCGGTGCCACCGGGCTGTCCGGAGCCCCAGTTCCATGAGACTGCTCACACGTTAGCAGTGAGTTCCTGAGTCTTTTGCGATTATACCGATCGCGGCAAGGAAGACGCGCGCGGATGGGCAATCGTTACGCGCCAGTGAGCGCAATGCGCCTGGCGGAACCTCGCGATGCGCAGCCACTGAACGGCTGAAGGGGTCTCGGATTGAGGATTGAGAGGCACGTACCCTTATCTCCTTGTTGGATCTCAGTGTCGGTCATTGTGTGTAACGTAGCTTAGCAGTGGCAGGTGGTAAGAGATGACGTTATGGTGCGCAAAACCGCGTGTAAAGTCGCGAAAGCGGGGCGGAACAGCAATTGATGCGCGTAAAGGTGCAATGGATGCGGTGATGCGTAGAAGTGATGCGCAAGTAGTTGGAAGAGACGCGACGGGCGGTGTGGAAGGGAAAAGAAGAATGGAAGCCGGGAACCTGAGTGCTGGGAAAGAGCTCTCGAAGATCGGAAGCTGCGGTGCTGAGGCGTGATTGGCTGCCCTGACCCACAAACGCCAATCTGTGCAATCTATGGGGAAGGTGGCTGGCGATCGAGCCACGGCGTCATCGGCTGGTCTGTGCGCGTTCTCGAAATACATCCTTGTCGATCGCTTCCTTCACGGCATGGCATTCTGAATAGGGTTTCGAAGAGGACGAGACTACACTCTTGAGTCGGTCATTGAAGATGTTAAGCATTTTGGTTGACTGCGCTTTGCCATAGCATCGTGTACTCATGTCCAAATCTTGCCTCCCATACCATGTATCACCTTGTCCATCCTGTGCGTATGTGCGTAGTCAAACGCCGTAACCAAAGCCACGAGATGACTAGCTGCCGCAAGAACAACCAAGACGTGAAAGATCTGATGGCTTGAGCCCCAGATATCGTAACTCCCAGGACTCCACTTCTCAGGTATTCTCGCAGCATAGATAGCGGCACCAGCAATATACAGCGCGCCCTGCAAAAGGACCCAATCCAAGCCAATGCTCTTGCGCAGATGTTCGACACCGTACAGTTGAACGCCATGAAGTACAGGGAAGACAGCGGAAAGTCCCATGAGCACAAACATGAGCGCTCGAAAAGGTCGCAATGCGGGAGTGCGGAATTTGGGATGTGTTGCTGCGACTGACGTGCCAGCTGCCAGCGTCGTGATCATGGTCCAGTACGTCCTTCGCAGTTCTGGTTCGCTGCCAAAAGCGTAGTATACGATGGGTACGAAGCTGCCCCAGATTAAGAAGACGATGCCCAGATAGTCGAGTTTGTTGCCCCAGACAGCGACTTCGTGCGAGTGGTTTTGTATGGTGTGGTACGTCGCGCTCATGCCCAGACATGCTACAGCTCCTGCGAAGTAGCAGCTAAAGGCCCAGACATCTTCTTGCGTCGCTGTGTCATAACGAGGTGACAACGTATTGTAGAGTGCGACGGAGGAGATGGCAGCCATCACAGCTCCGATGAGATGGGTGTAGATGTTGACGGTTTCGTTGTGCAGATATCCGAGACTCTTCCAGGACTTGACAAATGAGTTGGATTGAGCGCGGTATCCCGACTGAATGTAGTGGTTGTCTTGCTGCCATGGCGAGAGTTCGTCCCATAGTAGTATCAACTTCTCTTCAACCTTTTGCTCCAGCTCTTTCCCGGTTTGCGCGGCTTTTGAGGTTGCTTCCTTGGCTGCTTCCATCATGGATGTATTTGATTTGAATCTTTTGATTCAGATTTGAGGGGGCGGCCTGCAATATAAGAGTGTTTGTTGGAAGTTCACATGTCATGAAGCGGCCTCGGAGAATCCGCGAATACCCTCAGGGACTACACGCGATCTAGGTAGACTATACCGCGTCCGGTCAGGCTTGCGAGGACAACACGTCGCTTCTAAAGCAAAGCAATGACCTTGACAGCGCAATCGCTCTTTATGGGCAACATTGTCAGTGGTCTCGCTGTTGTCACGAGACAAGACATTTCCGACGCGTCGAGGTCGTGCGCTGCCCCTCCATCCCACCTTCCCTTCCTCCCAGCCTCAAGCGCGGTTGCTTTCACCACCACACACCATGTGTCGCAAATACGCTAGGTGATATACAGCCATGGTTGTTAGAGTCTTTGACATAACTTGACCTCCCGTGCTCTCCACCAGACCGCCCAACTCCACCACCAGCGCAATGAAGTCCTCAGATCCCGGCCGACCCAGCAGCCGTCGCGCCGCCTCAGGTGCATGGAACCGGCTGAAGCCCGTCCGCGAAGATGTCCTGGAGACATACGGACTGCCTTCCAAAGGAGAGACACGGTATAGCCCTCTCGCCCCATACGTCTCGACACAATGGCTAACGAGTATACAGGCTGAACGACTTCAAAACACAAGAGATCTACTTCAACCGCATAATAGAACGCTACATGAAACTCTGCGCCCTCAACCGCGACGAACTAGACCGCCTCTTCATATCCGTTAGCATCCCCCCTCCCGACACGACCACCACGACCAAGTCGACGACAGCGCCCACCGCCAATTCCAAACTCACGTCCTCCTTCTCCTCGCTCTCCCTCTCCAAACACGCACCACCAGAAGCCCGTCAACAACCCACCACCCGCCCACCCCTCGCCTCAACCTCCACAAACACACCACACAACCCCATCCCCCAAAAGGCCTTCACGCCCTCCATCCAAGAACTCTCCACCGTCCTCGCCTCCCTGCGCAAGCTACGAGAAGCCATAACCGCGTCCTCACGCACCGACGCCTTCGCTCTGCGCGCCTACACCTTCGCCATCCACGTCAGCATCCTGTGCCACGACTGGTCCTCCTACCTCCCGTCTCTGCTTTCCCTCCTCGGGAAAATCCATCCCGTCAACCCGCTTTCGCCATCCACCCTGCACGAAGTCGTCGGCCTATTGATCCTCGACCAAGCATGTCGGCAATCCGACTACTCCGGCGCCCGAGCCACGAAACTACGGTATGGATATAAGGATTGGAGGGTGGAGAAGGTGTTGCGGTGTCTGGTCGCGGATGACTACGTGGGGTTTTGGCGCGTGAGAAGAAGTGTGGATGGGTATCAGAGGAGGGTTATGGAGTGGGCGGATGGAGGGGTTAGGGTGCATGCGCTCAAGTGTTTGGGTAGAGCGTATTTGAGTGCGGATAGGGCGTTTGTCGAGAGGTGCGCGGAGAGGAGCTGGGAGGAGTTGGTGCAGGAGGGGGTTGGGTGGGAATTGAGTGCGGATGGAGAGAAGGTTTTGATCAAGAAGATGAAGGGATAAAGTAGCTTATGGGGGGATGGTGTTTTGATACCCGGTTGTATTGCATGTGCCTTGGGATTGAAGCATAGATTGGTTGAATTTCAGGATGAAGCGTTGAACATTCAGGGTATCATTAAGACTTTTCTATCAGACCACATCACTCATCCTCCATTTCTTCATCCTCATCTTCATCTTCTTCCTCCCCAGCATCAGCAGCATCCTGCCAAACATCGTCATCCATATCATACGCATCCAAAAGATCGTCATCCATCTCCTCGTCCTCATCTTCCTCTCCTTCGCCCTCGCCCTCACCAGTCTCTCCCCTAGCAGCAGCCCTCTCCTTGCGCTTCTTCTCCACATTCTCCTTCTGAACGCGTCTCCTCTCCTCTTTCTCCTTATTCCTCTGCGTCCACTTCTTCTCCAACTCCTGCTCCTCTTTCTTGCTCTTCTTGATGTATTCATGCCACATGATCTTGCCGCCGCAGACATCTTCTTCGACTTTTGTGAGGCGCAACTTCATGCGGGGGCCCAGTTCAACGAGCTTGACGGCGCGCTTCTCGACGCGGGGTTTTGAGCCGCGGGCGCGGGCGTGCGAGGTTTCGTCGCCGGCTTTTAGCTTTTCTTTTTCTTTGCGGGAGAGGACTTTTTGACGGACGGGCTGCGCGACTTCGACTTCGGCGTCGGTGTCTTGTTCGGTGTCCGAGGCGGATGTGTAGCCGGCGGCTGAGGGGTCGAGCATGTAGTCTGCGACGTCCTGGAGGTGGGGTTAGTGGAGGTTCTATGCATTTTGGGGAGTGACTGCTTACCTCGAGCTTGCCTAGGTTGGGTAGTGCGCTCTTCTTCTTCTTCTCCTTGCTGCCAATGAGCTTCTCGGCTGCGTATAGCCGGCGGATGGCTTTCGGTACGCCTGTGACCTTCGTTGTGATCGCGTAATGTCGCAGGCTGATTGTGACGGAGCCATTCTCTTCCGAGGGAGGCTCACGGTTGAGCAGGAGGACGCGCTTGATCGAGTGTAGAGGGGTAGTATGCGGTTGAATGGGTGGGAACAGGCCCTGGAACATGTCCGTCACGAGCTTCTCGAGATGCTTAGGAGGTGCCTTGTCGCCGAGTCTTTCTCTTTCCGCATCGCTGGTAAGGAAGTTGTTCATGACAAGCAGAGGCGCGACTAGGAAGTCGTTTGCGCCAGCCCGCGGGCGTCTCATTGACTTGAGAATGTCTTTGCAGAGACTGTAGTTTTCGACTCGGAAATGGAGAGTAGGTCCGCGGGGGACGCGGCATAGTCTGAGGTTGACGTTGCCGACTTCTGAGCGTGAGAAGAGGAGAAGATGGCTGACACCTAGCGGTCCACACATGACAAGGAAGTCCTTTGAGGCTGTTAGCTCAGATCATGCCGGTAAATATGTATGCAATACCTTGAGCTTATTCGCCCTTCGCTCCTTCAGCCGAATAGCGGTATCAGGCTCCAGGCAGTGGCGCACATCGTTTACGAGGTCTGAGACAGATCTTCCTACTCTAGATGTTGTTAGCAAAAGACTCGGATGTTACTCGATTCGATCACACTGACTCCTGCGCACCGATGCGAATGACCATGGATTTCGGTGTCCCTGCTATCGGCTTCTTGGAAAGCTCCTTGTCGCGCACCGACTGCTTCTTCCTCGCGGTTCCTTTTCCACGAGCCATTGCGAAAACTCAGTTGCCTCTGCCCGAGTTGGAGTATTGATGGGAATTGTTGGTGGCAGGATATGTTATTCTTACGATGCGATCTTGTGTTTCACTCCACTAAGTCGGAGGATGGCGTGTTGTTGTTGACGAACGAATGGCTTTTGCGCATGCAGTCGCAAACTAGAGCTGCGGCTTTCGAACTTTTAGGTGGGTCCGCCAAGATTTCGCGGTTTCTTTGGTTCCAACCGCGGTACCATGATTCTGCCGCACAACTTTTCCAGACTCGACAATCAAAACAACACCATGCCTGGAGTCACGAAAAGAAAGCTTCACGCAGATGCGACCACCGCCGCTGGTGTGTCGTCGAAGAAAGTGCGACCATCGAATGCACCCGCGAAGAAAGTCCAGAAGAAGCCTGCACCACCACCAGAATCCGAGTCTGGCGATGACGATGACGCCGAAGAGAGGGACTCAACCGATGGCGAAGAAGTCCAAGAAGTAGTAGGCGACAGCAATTCAAAAGACGAAGCAGGGCCCTCTACCACCGCCGACACAACGAACGAAGAAGCGCAACCCGCCGCGAACGAAGCGAAGAAGACCTTCGCCGATCTAGGCGTGCGCGAAGAGCTCTGCGATGCAGTCGAAAACTTGAAATACGTACACCCGACGCCTATCCAGGAACAAGCTATACCACTCGCCCTCCAAGGTAGGGATGTGATCGGATTGGCCGAGACGGGTTCCGGAAAGACGGCGGCATTTGTCCTACCCATTCTTCAGTCGCTACTGGAGAAGCCACAGCCGTTGTTTGGTCTGATTCTGGCCCCGACACGAGAGTTGGCATACCAGATCGCACAACAGGTGGATGCTTTGGGTAGCATTATCAACGTCAAGTGCGCGACGTTGGTAGGAGGAATGGACATGGTACCTCAGGCCATCTCGTTGTCCAAGAAACCGCACGTCGTAGTAGCGACACCTGGACGCTTGCTTGACCGTGAGTCACGCACATATACGAACTATAAGTGACACCCATACTGACAACATCACGTAGATCTTGAAAACACCAAGGGCTTCAGTCTGAAGCATCTGAAGTACATGGTTCTCGACGAAGCCGATCGCCTGCTCGACCTCGATTTCGGCCCCGTACTAGACAAGATCTTGAAGGTACTTCCTCGGGAAGGCCGACACACATACCTATTCTCTGCGACCATGTCCTCCAAGGTCGAGAGTCTCCAGCGCGCCGCACTACAAAACCCAGTCCGCGTGAGCATCAGCAGCTCCTCGCATCAAGTTGTCTCGACCCTACTACAGCGCTACATCTTCCTCCCATTCAAATGGAAGGACCTCTACCTTATCCACCTCCTCAACGACAACATCGGCCACCCCACCATCATCTTCACCCGCACAGTCAACGAAACACAACGTATCTCCATCCTCCTCCGCACCCTCGGCTTCGGCGCCATCCCGCTACACGGCCAACTAGGCCAGTCCGCCCGTCTCGGCGCTCTCAACAAATTCAAGTCAAAGAGCCGCGACATCCTCGTCGCAACCGACGTAGCAGCCCGCGGTCTCGATATCCCCGCCGTTGACCTCGTCGTCAACTTCGACTTGCCGAGCGACTCTCAGACTTACGTCCATCGTGTTGGTCGAACTGCAAGAGCGGGAAAGTCGGGTAAGGCGGTATCGTTCGTTACACAGTATGATCTGGAGATCTGGCTGAGGATTGAGAATGCGCTTGGTAAGAAGATCCCGGAAGAGGCCATCAACAAGGACGAAGCGATGGTCTACGCGGAGCGCGTGGGTGAT